GTGAGGTCATCCCACAGGCGATCTCACACGTCTCCCCACAGGCGAGGATGGGAAGGTGCTAAATGAGGTGCTAAATGAGGTCAGCCTAACTAAATTGACATTCCCACGGAGCGTAGGTAATACTGTTTGAATAAGGAAGAGAAGCTTTCCGGAGTGGCCTGTACGTAGAGAATGTCAAGGGGAACGCCGAAAACGTCTTTAGACCCCTCAAGCCTTCAAACTGTTGTACGGCCGAAGGAGGGAGGACCTCTTGAGACGAGTTCATGGGTTTATTCATTTCAATGAACCTTGTGACCCAACAAGAAACAATGAAACATCCATTTCATGCCATTGGTCCGATAGAAGCGCTTTTGGCCGGTAGGAAGGCGGAGTCACTGGAAAAGGGAGGCATCACTGGCTTTTTCTACCTTAACTCCTTCACCTTACAACTGGCACTATGTTGTCTATTGCGGACCACCTTTTCACACAATTTTTTGAACCCTCATAGGTGATCGCTGACTGTTTCATCGAGGAGAGTAAGTAGGATAGAGGGTATCGATAGGAACTCGAGTGAAGCAGGGCGATCCGAGGATGATGTTGTCTTCGAATGGAAATATAGTTCAAATTCGAGATAGAACTTTTACTGTCTCACAGCTTAAGAGTTTCTAAGTGTCTCTGAAAAGGAGGTCGTTTTGCATTAATTTGATGTTCTTGTTTTTGGGTGATACTTCACCGTCTGATAGTTCAATTGTCGCTCGATTCCCATGCAGAGAAACGAGTTCATTTGATTGATCTGTTACGCCATCGACATGGACCTTCAGTCAGTGCACAGCATACCCAAACGACCGCAGGTTGTCGTTATCGTTTGGTCAGCAGTGTGTCTTGGCGAATCGCCCGCAAATGGTAGACAGTCTACTAATCTTTTTGTTCATATAGGACTTCTGATGTTTTTTGACATGTAGAAAACCATTAATCATATTCACTTCTTCTGCTTTACTCACTCTACCGTCATCATTCCTGTAAAAGAGACGGTGTCTAAGGCGAAGATTAGAGTGAAGCAAGGAGAGCTCTTCCATCAATTGCTACGCTCTCAGGATGGCACGAGGTGGATGCCCTGACTGGGTTCCAATCCACGCCCCACTAACGCCCTCTCGTTTGCATTGATAATGACTACACAGATATGTGCCTGTCGAAAAGGACCTGTCCTATGTTAGAGATCCCCTGCGAGGGGGTAGGGTATTTGGTTTGGTTGCTGTAGGGAGCGGGGCTGCATCCGTCTCTGAGAAAAATGTTTTCGGTTGCTAACTTTCTCCGGTTTTTCCTTTTACGCCATATACCTCTTCACTCCACTCGAATGCTTTTTTGAAAAAAAACCGTAAAGCGGTAAAGAAGGCCATATTCTGCCGTAACTTCTTCCTCAGCAGTAGGACGTGCCTTGCTTCCGAAGAAATGGGTTGGTAATTAAGTCTCGAGACGAACGTCTGGACTCCGAAAAATTGCTGAGGTTCAGAACATACAAATACCTTCTATAGCTACAACTTTAGAAAATGTCACTAAAAAGTAGATGTTCGGGATGGCGGGAGTTCAGCACCATGTCCCATGTCTCCATCGTTACCACGCTCCACGCGGCTCAGACGTCTCCGTTCTAGCTTAAGGACTCTTGAGGGGCGAATGCTGTGAATACTTCACCATAAAATGGTTACTGTTCACCTGTTCACACTTACTTGGCATCAGCATGAAATCTTGATTTGATTTTTTGTGTTGCTTTTTTGACTGTTAACTTTCTACGATCGTACAAGTGGCGATTATCATGCTTTTTCGTCCTGCAATCTCATTTTTCACTGGAAGTCGGTCATTAGGGGCGGAGTCTGGAGGCGGAGTCACTGGAAAAAAGGAGGAGCCACTGAACCTATATTGCGCTACAGCGCCCCTCCCATAGAATTTTTTGCCGCGAAACCGGTACAAGGTTGTTCGTCGCGGACCACTCTAACCTCCTGACGCCATATTTTCAACTTCGATACCTGATCGCGGACCGTGCCTTTAAGTAATTATGAAAGTCCACTAACCCTCGACTTCCACATTTGAACTAGACCAAAGTGTGAAATCATGACCCCATGTGATTTCCTAGATCTTCCCCTCATCAAACGATCTGAGCATTTTCAGAAGAGTTAGCAAGTCGAATCGATCCAGAAATGTCAAATTCAGCTGCACAGCTCATGAAACGGGTACTGATGGTACCGCCGAAGCACTTTACTGTTGAGGTTCGTCAGCCATTCTAGGACATGCCAGTGACTAGCACGATCAAGGAACTTTCAGTACAATATCAATCCATGGATGGGAGGAGTAGTGAACAAACCAAAAGCGTTTGAGCAATGGAATTCGTTGAAATCGGCTATCGAGAAGGAGGGCGTAGAGGTGAGGAAAACCAAAGTAACCATGGATTTCAAGTCCTTTCTCTTGATCAACCGTTGTGATATGAACACACCGACTTTGAGGTTCTCACGATGGAGCAGACGCCTGGTCTTCCCGATCAGGTCTTTGTCTGCAATTCTGGTCTAGTCTACAACAACAAAGTCTACCTTAGTAGATTCCGACATAAAGAAAGGTGACATTAACTTTCGTGATTCTTTCAGTTTTTTTGAATGACGAGGAAAGCGTTCTAATGGGAACCTGGTTCAGTTTTCTGTTTTGCTGTGAGTATAATGAGCTCCCTTAGAATCCCAGTGAGCTTCTTTCCACCAGTATCAAAAATGGCGAAGCTGACTAGCCCTCTAACCGCAGTTGCAGCATTGCGTACGTAGTGCGTCAGAAACTAAACGGGGGAACTAAGATGTGATAGCTGTTATAGTAGAATGGTTTCCCCGAGGGCTCATGACCCATGAACGAGGAGGCGACTCTACTTGCCAGATTGCAGGACTAGGAATGGAGCGCATAGGCTTGCAAAACTAGGAGTGAAGCGCAGTTAGGCTTGATGGGAGCATTCTACTAGTTCTCATCGGTCAGTGGTGATGCCTCCTGCAGCGATCTGTGAACTCCTACAAACTCATGCTATAGCGGGAGCTTCAACTCGGGAAGAGTTACAGGTGTTACCAAATAGAGATGGTAAATCAGCAGGGACTAGAGACTCTGTCCAGAATGGAGATCTGCGAGGGTTTTACAGCACTGCTTCATGAGATCTGACTATGAGTGTGGTAAACCTTGCCTGAAGGTTACCATTTCAGAACAGGAGAACAAGCGCACTATTTGAAGTGGTTCAAATCATACGGGCTTCAAACGCTGGGTGAAGACTATCCGGAATTCTTCGAAGGTGGCGGTGACGCTGTATTTTCGGACCCGAAAACACTTTGGGCAGGATTTGGCCAGCGATCGGCAAGAGGGGTGCATTGTTCTCGAACTTTTCTATGAAATGCCAATTTCCTTTCATTGTTCACTTTAGGTATACGAACGAATCAAGGCTTTGGGAGAATTTGACATCGTCATCTGCGAACTGATTCATCCAAACTTCTATCATCTGGACACCTGTTTTGCTCCGGTTGATGAAACAACTGCCTTATGGTATCCGCCGGCTTTCTCGGAAAATACCAAGAAGGAGGTATGTCGTTTCTGTGGGAGCAAAAGCGGTTGGGGGTTTGCCGCGGAGCGATCATGGTGTGCGATGTCTAGCCTGCCTTACCTCGCTTTGCCACGCCTGAGTGTCCCCAGCTAAAGTTTGCCCCTTCGACTAGATAACGTACCGCTTATAGATGGTTCTGCTGACCTGTCCCTGCTTTCGAACCTATAAGAACTCGTCTTTTTCCATTCTCTACACGTGAGATGGATTCCAGTTATTTCATGGGAAGAGGTCGTAGCATAGAAAGACTCGGTGCAGTTCGGCTTGATGGGGGCACCGAGTAGTACTCAGCTAAGCTTGAGCAGGTCATCTTGAGGAGACCAGTGAATCCTTGTGACCAACGTGGCTCACTCGGACTTTCACATCTTCACAGGAGTTTGCAGGTCTCACTAAAGTCCCTCCTTGTTGACATCAACTGAGAAAAAAGAACTAACCATAAGAGAAGTGGAAAATGTCTCCTCCAAGCCAAACAGTAACACAAGTTTGAAAAGTAGTCGATGGAAACAGGGTGAATAATTGAAAGAGCTGAAGAACGAGTTCCACTCAATCACGTTAACGCGAGAAGGGGACATTTTTCCCGCTTGGTGCAGTTCGAAGCAGCGCTACGCGACCGCACGGGACAGTTCTTCCATTTCTTCATTTCCTTGAGTCAGGGATCATGCCAAAGAAAACAAATCATTTCGAAATGAAAGCCTCCAAGATTTCAACGTGCTGTTTAGATAATGCGGCGTCTGCCGGATTCCATTGCCATTTCCGATCAGGAAGCAAATTCTTTTGTCTGCAATGCGATTACTGTACGGAATACGGTATTGTCTCCAACTGGCATGCAAAAACCGACACGAGAAGCTTTGGCTCGTCGCAAGAAAGCTGTCACCGACATAGACATGAGCGAATTCATGAAGAAGCGGTGGAGCTTGCCAATGTCTTGTACTTCGATTATAACATCATTTCAGACATTTCGTGGCACTTCATAACAGTCATTTTAATAATTTACTTATTCAATAATATAATAACTACAGGGCTAACATGTATATTGTCTATTTGTTATTTAGGTTATTTTGTGCAACACTGTATGTAGTTCTATTTTGATATTATACTTTTATGTTTACTTATGTTGAACTGTGGAATTTGACAATGATGGCAATAAAGATGTATATTCTCTCTGGTATCTAGGTAAGAACAGCGAGAAGAGCTCAGGTACAGGGCACTGGTACGCGATGGATGAAAGAGATCTTAAGTATCTTACCTTGCGACAGGGTAAAACAGTGACCAGAATTTTCAGAGCAGCTTCCAGTGATTTGGTGTCCCCAGTCACTGAAATCTCATCTGAGAATTTTGAGCTGGAAAAGGAAGAAGGGAGAATTCTCTCAGGTCGTACATGGTTTTATAATATGAGCGGTTGGAAGAGATTCTTTCCTCTTTGCTGGGCTTACAGTATGGACGTAAAACCAATTCATGCTAGTGCAATGAGGAACGAAGATCCCTCTGTCTTCGTCATTTCTGAAGTGCGCCACCCCATGAGCAAGCCGCAGAATACTCTCATCGCCTTGATGCTCACCTCTTCAATTTCGTCCTTCTCGCCCTAAGTTACCCTTTGGAGAATTGAACTTACGAAAGCAGGATGAACATGCGTTAACGTCATTCAAGGCACCGCTGAAAGAGTTTCCCCGCTACACGCAAGTGAGAGAGGGAATCCGGAGCTCCGCACTCCGCCGACGATCGAAGATCAGAGACGCCGCCGCATTTGCCAAGGTTTCGAAGATCAGGTGGGCCGGGCACGTCATGCGTTTCGAGGACGACCGCTGGACCAGAGCGATCACCGACTGGATTCCACGGGATGTCGAAGCGAACAAGTTCGCCTACGCGATGGTCAGGTTTCTTCGCGAAAGCTCTGAACGAATGAGGTGTGATGCTCATTGTGTTCCTCGAGCACCAGTAGCCATTGAGCAACTCTAGCACGAAAGGACGTATAAAGATGTTACTGGCGCCCACTCGACCTTGATGATCAACGAGAGCACAGGTGAATTGAACTTGGCTCAAGAATTCGGGTAGTGAGTGACCCACGCCTGCGCAAGAACTCATGGGTCAGCATGAGCTTCCTCGACCGCGGTTCTACAAGGTAAATCACTAATCTTTCCCAACTGCTCAAGATTGTTAGAAAAGGAAACAGATGCGTGTATTTGCAATGCGATCACCATAAAGAGTACGGTAACAACGTCAGTTGGTGTCGGATCGGCTACGCGAGAAGCACTCGCTCGGCGTGAAATGGACGTCATCGACGTGGATGTGAGTGAATTCGTAAAAGGTGGTGGTGATTGTCAATGCCTTGTTCTTCGGTTGCTATAATTTTGTATCTAAATAAAATTGTCACTACTTCCAAAGATTTTTTGGTTGCAATCACGTCCTTGGTTCTTGATCCTTCTTCTTAAAATTTTTGGATGCAGTTCAAGACATCCAGGGGAAGGACAGCATCCCGCACGGAGCAGCTGTCTTTCTTGGTAGTTGATTCGTCGTAACGTTCCGCGTTACATACACTCCTACGACAGCCTGCAGTTATTGTTTCTGAAGTTAGTCGGGGCGTGCCAGCGGCGCATGACTTGGCTAATGCCCTTCTCCAGCAATTTCGGCACCGAGCTCATTTTAATTGCGTAAGTCACCAATCCCGCACAAGGGTTATTTACCATCGTGATTACAATTATGACACTCATTCTCGGCGCTGGCGCCAAGGGATAACACTAACTTATCACAAGAATGCTGAGTTGTGGGCAAAAGTCGTGCCCCAGGCGGGAGTCGAACCCGCACCTCACGCTTTCCGGGCGAGTGCGCTATCCGTTACGCAGGGCCGCTTTTACCCTCTCAGCTTAACGGCTTTTATGCCGTAGCCTATCAGCACTCACACGTTTAACTTGGTGAGCCGGTCAGCCGTAATCGATGGGATATCGGCATGAAACCGCGAGGCCGAAGGCTTTAGATGTTTTTGAAGCTGTTTTGTTATGATAACTGCTGTTTAACGCAAGTTAAACGTGTGAGTGCTGATAGGCTACGGCATAAGCCGTTAAGCTGAGAGGGTAAAAGCGGCCCTGGTGGCGTAACGGATAGCGCACTCGCCCGGAAAGCGTGAGGTGCGGGTTCGACTCCCGCCTGGA